TTGGATTGACTGTAAATTATAATAATGATAATGGGCCAGTAACATTAACCAACAACAGTCGAAGATAAAAGCACTCAGTGTGTCTTGGATTAACTGTAAATAAGCGTTCGATTTAAATAAATTGAGACATGCATCAACTGGTGAAACTTGCTTGCGGGGCATCCATTTTTTTGTTTGAGCCCAAGTGAAATAGCGTGGTACTTGTGAATAGAGCAATGTTCTTGCAAAGGCACCAAAATCATCCGTACTATTACACAATTCAAAAAATGCAGTGAGTGTAGATTTAGGTGGATTTGTACCACGATCAATCACTGTCTCGTTCGTGAAAAATACACGCTGACCGTTTCAAGATGGATGGCTAACTGAACAGCTGCTGGATCCCGTTCATGAATTAGAAAACCGAAGATACGCCAAGCAGCTTCATTGGAGCTGATGTACCGACCAATTTGGTAGAGCGTAATTTCACCGTTTTTGTTCATTGGAGGAGCATTTAGATTAGTATTTTCTACTCTAAACACAGCCATATCACTGCCTTTATGGACATACTTATATATATGATGCTCTTCACAGAACTGCAAAACTCAACATTTATGTGAGCATTGTATGTCTTGCTTAGCAGAGGCGAATACGGCACCACCCGCCGTAATGATTTATAAAAAAAAATATATACACACAGCCAATAAAGTCTTCGTACACCTTACGAATTTTGATATGTGATAAAGAAACACAACATAATTTAATATTTTATATTAAAATTTTTACATATATTTATTCTTTGATATCTTAAGTTTAAATAGCAAAAGACTGAAATTGTATTCTTTTGTTCATTCTTGAGATAACGGGATAAAAGTGTCCATGCATGTAAATATAAGCCCCATAAAATCTGCGTACAGTTATAAAAAAGCTAATAAAATCGGTAGAAATTTTAAAAATAAGGCTAAATTTATTACTTTGTTGTTTAGCCACACTGTTTTAGAACTTCACTTAATCTGTTTGGCATGGAATTAACCAACTTCTGATTTTCTTCAGCAGTAATTTTCGCCCATTCTGCTTGCATTGTAATCCGCAAAGCTTCTTCACTTGTTATCACATGCTGACGAATTCTTTTTTCCAATAAATCCCAAAGATTCTCAATGGGGTTGAGCTCAGGTTATTGTGGAGGCGTTTTAAGCTGTCTTGGAACGCTGTACAAAAACCAAAATTTAACAATCCCCGCTGTGTGTTTTGGGTCATTGTTCTGTTGGAACCAAAATGACGTGGATAAGCCCAAATTATCTGCACATTGTTTCCAATTTCTTTTTAAAATGTTTAAATAACCCCATTTATTCATTGTCGGTTCTATAAATTTCAACTGACCTGCACCATCAGCCACCATGCCGTGTTTGACTGTACCAACAAGATTTTGTTTCTCTAACGCTGCTCCTGATTTCCGTCACACATTTGACGTCCTTACCAAAGATGCAGAACTTGCTTTCGTCTGAAAATATCACTTGCTTCCAGAACTCTGGAAGTTTATTTATGTATTTGTTTGCAAATTCAATGCATTTCAACGCATATTTTGTCTGTTTACAAGTGAAATATACGGTTTCTTTCTAGCGACTCTACCACGATATCCAGCTTTATGTAATACTTTTCTAGCAGTCTTCGCACAAATACTTTTTTAAATGATTGATTTATATATTTCACAATTTTCGAAGAAGAAACACGAGATCTTCAGCATATGGACTATTTTTCGCTTTTCTCGGACTGATAAAACCTTTGGACGCAGAGGACGCAGTTTAGAAGATAAAATTCCGGTTTTTTTTTGAAGTTCTCCACTATGCGCTGATGAATGCGTTCTTTTAATAGTTTCACCAATTTTTCGGAAACTTTTTTCATCTTTCTATAGTTTAATAATTATTAGGGGTATTCACTCTCTCTTGTAAACTCATTGCAAGGAGCACGAAATGCATGAATGCTATACAAAAACTGCAAGGCTGCGAGAACACCTCTGTTGCAGAATTGCATCATCAAAATGAATCAGCTGTTTTTGCAGCCGTATCACATTGACCAAAGAAAAATAAAAGTATAACAATGCCGCGAACAAGTGAAATACAAAAATGTATAGATTTTTTAATTGAAAATAGTGCTTTTAATATTTTGATTGAAGGTATTAACATGTTGTTAATGTAGTTTTCACTACTGTATAGTTTCTATTTGTTAGATGATGCAAATTACTGGGAAGTGATGGAGCAATTAAATGAAGACCTTTTGTTTACTTTAGTAAACCATCACGGAAATCACCAACCCGTACCCAAATCTATTCAATGGAGATCTACCATTCTTCAAGAATTTGATGAAGGCCGTTTTCGTCAGATGCTTAGAGTAAATTGGAACGAATTTTCCTTAATACTCTCACTAATAAACACTAGCGCGGAGTTCACTAATTCACATTCAATTCAACAATTCCCGCTCGATCTTCAACTTGCTATTGTTTTATATCGTTTGGGTTCATCAGGCGAAAATGCGGCTATTCGTAAAGTCGCTACATTATTTGGTGTTGGAGATGGGGAAACAATTTATAAGATACCCCGAAGAGTCATTCGCTCCATATTGGAGCTGCAAACCAAATTTATAACGTGGCCAGATGTAGCTGAACGACAAGATGTAGTGGAGAAAACCTATCACGAGCATCCACATTGCATTGGATATATTGACGGTACTGAAATAAAACTTGCCGAAGCACCAGTGGTTAACCATACATCCTATTTTTCAAAAAATAGAGTGTATTCAATAAAAGCACAAGTCGTATGTGACTATCAGCTGAAGATTCGACATGTCGCAGTTGGTCACTATGGAAGTGCACATGATGCTCGCATGTTTCGTACAAGCGCTCTCTGCATCCAAGAAAATTCTTTATTTTCTTCGGAACAATGGTTAGCAGGCGATTCTGCTTATCCATTACTTAAAACTCTTATAACTCCGTTTCGGTCAAACTCCCAACAGCTTGACTACTCCAAACGTAAAACTTTTAACTTACGCCATAGCAGATTTCGTGTAAGGATTGAACATCGTTTTGGACTTCTGAAGGAACGCTTCGGTAGCCTTAAGGAGTTAAGAATCCGTATTCAGAATGATACAAGTCATAATTTTTGTTCAAATTGGTTCCTTGTTTATTGCATATTGCACAACATTTTGCGACCTTCATGTGATGATACGGAACACGTGGATTACGTACATGACAACGATGAAGAATCTGATGAGCTTATGCAGAATGAAGCTAGTCAGAGAACCAATGAAGGAGCTTCGAAGCGCAAATTTTTGTATAATTTAATGTTCGGTAATCAATAATTTACGAATACCAATATATAAAACATACATATATGTATATATATTAAATATATAATTAAGAAGTCAATTGCGACATTACTTTTTTTCCAGTAGGTTTATTTCAAAACAATAATAATGTTTAACAACGTATACATATATATTATATAATATAAAAATAATTAGTATAATAAAAATAGTTATTTGTTATATTTTTTATCGATTTCATATTTTGCAATTCTTTCTTTCATTTCCAGTTCCAATCGTTTCAATTCCATGTCCCTATCCCTCCACTTAGCTTCCATTTCAATTTTTTTTTCTTCAATAGCAATTTTCCGCTTCTCAATTTTGCTATATGTCTCGTGTTTTATTTTTTCGAAATCTAACTTTTTTTCCTCAAATACGTGTTTTTCTCTTTGTACAGCTAGCTGGCTTATGGCAGAATTTGAACCTTTTTTAGCAATTTTAGGGGATGCGAGTGGGGTAGTGGGGCTTTGCACAGCAGAACGCACGACTTTCGGTGCAGAGCTGGATGATGTGTCTGCAG